CCAATTTCTTAATAATTTTGGTATGAGTTATGAGTGGGACTCATGACTCTTGGTATCACATTTCATTTCTTTAGATAGGCCATGTGCTGCTTTCATTGGTCATACCCGTTTCATGGACCCCCATCCCCCTGGGTCAGTCCCAATTATATCAGATCAACTAAGTTGGAAGAGGCATGGTTCCCTAAAAGAAACTCAGCATGCTGATGCCAGAAAAAGGTGAATAGATGGCAGGAAGGCAAAAATAGTATGCCTGATGCAGAGGGTAAAAACTTAGAAGAAAAAAATTATAATTTAGGCACTTCCAGTCTAGAAACGAAAAGGCAAACTAGGAAACATGTTGGAGATTTAATACATTCCTTGTATGATTTTCTGTTGTCTTTAATAATATTCAATGATACATTATCCACAGGAGAAAAATATACCACAAGCCAAATGCTGGTAATACTCTGAATTTTCTGAAAAGCCTTTACAGTTCTAAAACAACCACTGAAATACCAAGAAGCGGATTTGCATAATCACACTATTTTTAGTGATATTTATTTGTGGCAACTACTTTAATACCTAAATCATGAAGATTCAGAGAGATGCACAATCATAAGTTAATCCTGTCAACACCCTGTAATATAAGCTCTCGGGAAAAGATTATGAGGAGAATAGGGCACAAAGCAATGACGTGGTTTTTTCCAAGGTCATGAATTGAATCAGTAGCCAACCAAAGCTGCTGACTCCCAAAATACATGACTCATTCTTTTCCACATTTTCCATACCTTATTTTAGTTTATCACAACGATTGGTCTTTCTTAGCATTTTTTTGTAGGTGATTGGCAGAAAATAAAAATGGCCATATGTTTGAAACTCAGCATCATATGCCCTAGGGAAATAATAAACAAAACAGAGAGCAAAATACTCAAATAAAGAAGCAAAACAGGGGCACATCAAAAAAAAGTCTACGGAGAAAACTTACCCCAGTAGCTAAAGAAAATTGATAGTAGAATATAAATTGAGATATCAGAACTCTCAGTGTTCAGTATGACAGTGGGTACACTTAAGACTAACTGCATTTTTTTCTCAGTTAACATAATTTCATACTTACAGAAGTTTCAAGAACTGTACAAAGAATTCCAGAAGAATCTTTATCCAAATTCCCCAAATGTTAACTTTTATTTCTTCTCCTTCTCCTCCTTCTCTCTCTCTCTAAACACACACACACACACACACACACACACACAAATATATCTTCTTAGCCATTTAAAAGTAAGTTATAGACATTTTTCCAAAGAAGACACAAAAATGGCCAATAGGTGCTCAACCCTACTAATAATAAAGGAAATACAAATTGAAACTACTATGTGTTATCACCTCACACCCATAAAGATGGCTGTTATCAAAAAGACAAGAGATAATAAGGGTATGAACAAAAGGAAACCCTGGCACACAGTTGGTGGGAATGAAGATTGGCAAAGCCATTACAAAAAACAGTGAGAGGTTCCTAAATAAAAATAGAACTACCATATGACCAAGCAATTCCTCTTCTGTGTATACACCCAAAGGAGATGACATCACCATCTCATAAAGATACCTGCACTCTAATGTTTATGGCAGCATTAGTTGCAATGGTCAAGATATGAAAACAATCTATGTGTCTATTGACAAATGAATAGATAACAAAAATGTGTGTGTATATGTATGCATACACACACATGCATGCACACACACATACAGGAATATTATTTGGCTTTAAAAAAGGGAGAGCCTACCACTTTCCACAATTTGGAACAACCTGAAGAACATTATGTTAAGTAAGTAAGCATAAACAACATTATGTTAAGTAAATATTTTATGACCTCACTTACATGTGGAATTTTTTTTAAAAAAGACCTCAGGCCAGGCACAGTGCCTCACGCTGGTAATCCCATCACCTTGGGAGGCTGAGGTGGGCAGATCATGAGGTGAGGTGATCAAGACCATCCTGGCTAACATGGTGAAAACCCGTCTGTACTGAAAATACAAAAAATTAGCCATGCATGGTGGCGCACACCTGTAGTCCCAGCTACTCGGGAGACTGAGGCAGAAAAATCACTTGAACATGGGAGGCAGAGGTTGCAGAGCCAAGATTGCGCCACTGCACTCCAGCCTGGGCGACAGAGCAGACTCCATCTCAAAAAAAAAGAAAAAAAAAAAAAGACCTCAAATACACACAGCTAGAAAATGAAACAGTAGTTACCACGGCATGGGAGGCAAAGTGAAGAAGAAATGGGGAGATGTATGTCAGAAGATACCAAACAGAAGATACGTAGGATGAACAAGTCTAGAGATCTAATGTACAACATGAGGAGTGAAGTCAATAAAATTATATTGCATTATAAATTTTTTTTCTTTCTTTTTTTTTGAGACAGAGTCTCTCGCTGTTGCCACGTGCCAGGCTGGAGTGCAGTGGTGCGATCTCGGCTCACTGCAACCTCCACCTCCCGGGTTCAAGCAATTCTCCTGCCTCAGCCTCCTGAGTAGCTGGGCCTACAGGTGCGCGCCACCACGCCCAGCTAACTTTTAGTAGAGACAGGGTTTTTTAGTAGACACAGGGTTTCACCATGTTGGCCAGGATGGTCGCGATCTCCTGACCTTGTGATCCGCCCGCCTTGGCCTCCCAAAGTGCTGGGATTACAGGCATGAGCCACCACGCCCGGCTGTATTATAATTTTTTAACTAAGTAGATCTTAGCTGCTCTTACCATGAAAACAGAAACTATGTGAGATAATAGATATGTTAATCAGATTCATCAAAGTAACCATTTTACTTACTATATGTATACCATAACATGTTGTAACTCTTAAATAAATACCATAAAATTTATTTTTTAAAAGATAAATTGTAGGTAGAATGACTTTTTCCTGCTGTACACTTCAGTGTGTATTGCCTAAAACCAAGAACATTTTCTTACATCACAGTGTAATTATAAAAATTAGAAAATTAACTCTCATATAATACTATTACTTAGTATACAGTCTTTATTTCTTTACTTGCCAATATTATGGAATTCCTGAGGCTTTCTTTATAGAAAGTCTTTTGTGTATTTCATGAAGCTGGCTTTTTTTTTTTTTTGAGATGGAGTCTCACTCTGTTGCCAGGCAGGAGTGTAGTGCACCATCTTGGCTCACTGCAACCTCCACCTCCCAGGTTGAAGCAATTCTCCTGTCTCAGCCTCCCGAGTAGCTGGGACCACAGACACGTGCCACCACACCCAGCTAATTTTTGTATTTTTAGTAGAGACAGGGTTTCATGTTGGCCAGTATGGTCTCAATCTCTTGACCTGGTGATCCGCCTGCCTCCCAAAGTGTTGGGATTACAGGAATGAGCAACTGCGCCCAGCAGTTTTTTTTTTTTTTAATCTCATGGTGTTGCCCAGTAGCTGGAACCACAGGCAGGTGTGATCATGCCTGGCTAATTAAAAAAATTTTTTTTTGTAGAGACAAGATCTTGCCATGTTGCCCAAGCTGGTCTTAAACTCCTGGGCTCAAGTGGTCCTCCCATCCTGGCCTCACCAAACTGCTCGGATTACAGGCATGAGTCATGGTGCCCACTTAAGCTGATGTTTTTTAGAGTATGGGACAATTATTTTACACACTATTCTTCACATTGGGGTTTGTCTGATGTTTTCTCCTGATTAGATGCAAGTTACATATTTTTGGCAGGAACACCACAGAAGTGATGCTGTGGTCTTCTCAGTACACCATCTTAGATGGCATTTGTTGTTAATTTGTCCTATTATTGGTGATGCTAACCTTGACCATTTGGCTAAGTTCATGCCTGTCATGTTTCTGCACTTTAACATTATTTTACCCATTATAATTAATAAATGCCTCATGGAAAGATATTTTGAGACTATGTAACTAACCAGTTACTCCTCAAACACTTTCACACTAGTTTTTGTATCCATTGATGAGTCCTGCCTGAATCAATTAGAATGAGTATTTTTAGATTTTATTTATACATAATATTTGTACATATTTATAGTGTACACGTGTAATATTTTGATACATGCATAGAATGTATAATGATCAATTCAAGGTATTTAGGATATCCACCACCTTGAACATTTATCATATATTTTGTGTTTAGAAATATTTCAAATCTTCTAGATATTTTGAAACATACAGTTTATTGTTGTTAATTATAGTCAAACTACCATACTATCAAACACTGAACATGTTTCTTCTAACTGCAGGTTTGTAACCATTAACCTAGAATTAGTATTTTTAAATTATTTTTGTTTCTAAAATGTCATGCTATAGTAAGTGTCAGCACTGTTCCAGAATTTTTATTATAGACTCACTTTTATAATATCCTAGATGGAATACAATTTCAATATGCCTAATAATGAGGTAAAGCCCATAAATGGGCATGCACAATCTGGCTGCAGAGATGAAAATGTTCTAAAGGTGACTTATGGTAATGGTTGTACCTCTTGATAAAGTTATTACAATTATAGAATTTTATACAAGAAATGGGTAAATTTTATAATATATATTTTGTTAAAGGTATAAAAATAGGGAAAAATTGGGTTGAAAATAATAGAATCATTTATGTGAAAACATAAAAGCAAAGGCCAGTGAATGTCATTATTTACACAGATAGAAAATAATTTATACTTAACCAGGGTTTCTTAATTTTCTTTTATATCATGGCAGTCTGCTAAAGCCAATGTGCCCCTATTAAGAAAATGTTTGAAATATATATGTGAAATATATAAGAAACATATAAGATTACAAGAAAAATCAGTTGAAAAAACTACAATTTTTTTTTTCACTTTTCTACTCTTTTTTTTTTTAAATTTTTTATTGGATTTTAGGTTTTGGGGTACATGAGCAGAGCATGCAAGACAGTTGCGTAGGTACGCACATGGCAGTGTGCTTTGCTTTGCTTCTCCCCTTCACCCACATTTGGCATTTCTCCTCAGGCTATCCCTCTCCACCTCCCCCTCCCACTGGCCCTCCCCTTTTCCCCCCAATAGACCCCAGTGTTTAGTACTCCCCTTTCTGTGTCCATGTGTTCTCATTTTTCATCACCCACCTATGAGTGAGAATATGCAGTGTTTCATTTTCTGTTCTTGTGTCAGTTTGCTGAGGATGACGTTCTCCAGATTCATCCATGTCCCTACAAACGACACAAACTCATCATTTCTGATTGCTGCATAATATTCCATGGTGTATATGTGCCACATTTTCCTAATCCAGTCTATCATCAATGGGCATTTGGGTTGATTCCAGGTCTTTGCTATTGTAAACAGTGCTGCAATGAACATTCGTGTACATGTGTCCTTATAGTAGAATGATTTATAGTCTTTTGGATATATACCCAGTAATGGGATTGCTGGGTCAAATGGAATTTCTATTTCTAAGGCCTTGAGGAATCGCCACACTGTCTTCCACAATGGTTGAACTAATTTACACTCCCACCAACAGTGTAAAAGTGTTCCTTTTTCTCCACATCCTCTCCAGCATCTGTTGTCTCCAGATTTTTTAATGATCGCCATTCTAACTGGCGTGAGATGGTATCTCAGTGTGGTTTTGATTTGCATCTCTCTGATGACCAGTGACGATGAGCATTTTTTCATATGATTGTTGGCCTCATATATGTCTTCTTTCGTAAAGTGTCTGTTCATATCCTTTGCCCACTTTTGAATGGGCTTGTTTTTTTCCTGTAAATCTGTTTGAGTTCTTTGTCAATTCTGGATATCAGCCCTTTGTCAGATGGGTAAACTGCAAAAATTTTTTCCCATTCTGTTGGTTGCCGATTCACTCTAGTGACTGCTTCTTTTGCCGTGCAGAAGCTGTGGAGTTTCATTAGGTCCCATTTGTCTATTTTGGCTTTTGTTGCCAATGCTTTTGGTGTTTTGTTCATGAAGTCCTTGCCTACTCCTATGTCCTGGATAGTTTTGCCTAGATTTCCTTCTAGGGTTTTTATCGCGCCAGGTCTTATGTTTAAGTCTTTAATCTATCCGGAGTTAATTTTAGTGTAAGGTGTCAGGAAGGGGTCCAGTTTCTGCTTTCTGCACATGGCTAGACAGTTTTCCCAACACCATTTGTTAAACAGGGAATCCTTTCCCCATTGCTGTTTTTTGTCAGGTTTATCAAAGATTGTATAGTTGTAGATGTGTTGTGTTGCCTCTGATGTCTCTGTTTTGTTCCATTGGTCTATATCTCTGTTTTGGTACCAGTACCATGCTGTTTTGATTACTGTAGCCTTGTAGTATAGTTTGAAATCCGGTAGTGTGATGCCCCCCGCTGTGTTCTTTTTGCTTAGAATTGACTTGGCTATGCGGGCTCTCTTTTGGTTCCATATGAAGTTCATGGTGGTTTTTTCCAGTTCTGTGGAGAAATACAATTTTTTTTTGAGAAAGAGTTTCACTCCTGATGCCCAGGCTGGAGTGCAGTGGTGTGATCTTGGCTCACTGCAACCTTTGCCTCCCAGGTTCAAGCAATTCTCCTGCTTCAGCCTCCCCAGTAACTGGGATTATAAGTGTGTGCCACCATGCCCAGCTAATTTTTATTTTTTTATTTTTTAGAGATGGGGTTTCACCATGTTGGTCAGGCAGGTCTCGAATTTCTGACCTTGTGATCTGCCCACCCTGGCCTCCCAGAGTGCTGGGATCACAGGTGTGAGCTGCCATGCCCGATCCATTTTTGTAGTTTTAGTAAAGATGGGTTTTCACCAGGTTGGCCAGGCTGGTCTTGAACTCCTGATCTCAGGTGATCCACCCACCTAGGACTCCCAAAATGCTCGGATTACATGTGTGAGCCACCGTGTCTAGCCCTAAAGTATTTTTATAAGATAGCAAAATATGAGCTTTTAAAATGTATTAAATAACAATAGGTTTAAAATATTGGCAAGTCAAAGTTAAATTTTATTTTTACAACATTCATCAGTGTGAGGCAGTTGTTGCTAAGCATGAATAAGAATAGACTTTGATAAGGCAATGTGCATGTCATGTAAAAAGCCAGTTGACTTCTAGCTTCTGCTTTTGGTATTTTTAGTTCAATTACTGATAATCTAGATTCTTTTTTTATTTTTTTGACGGGGTCTTGCTCTGTTACCAAGACTGGAGTATAGTGATGCGATCATGGCTCACTGCAGCCTCTGCCTCTTGGGATCAAGCCATCCTCCTACTCAGCTTCCCAAGTATCTGGGACTACAGGAGTGTGCCACAAAGCCTGGCTAATTTTTGTATTTTTGGTAGAGATAGGATTTTGCCATGTTGGTCAGACTGGTCTCAAACTCCTGGCCTCAGGCAATCCACCCAGTTTGGCCTTCCAAAGCACTGGGATTACAGGTATAAGCTACCATATCTGGCTTCCTGATTCTTAAAAATATATTACCATAAATGTAATTAAAGTTTCCATAGTTGGCTTAACAAGAATGGACAGGTTCCGTCAAGAAATACTGTCTTAGTCAGTTTGGACTGCTATAGCAAATTACCACAGACTAAGTGATGTTAACAACAGAAACATATTTCTCCCAGTTCAGGAGGCTGGAAGTCCAAGACCAGGGTTCCAGCATGGTCAGGTTCTGGTGAGGGTCCTGGTCTGCATTGCAGACCACTGACTTCTTCATGTATTCTCACATGGTGGAGAACAGAGAGAGAGGAAGAATATTCTCTCCTGTATTTTTATAAGGCCACTACTCCCATTCGTGAGTGCTCAACCCTCATGACCTAGTTACCTCCCTAAAGACCCACCTCCTAAAACCATCACAATGGGGGTTATTATTTCAACATATACATTTTTTGGATGGGACACAAATATTCAGCCCATTGTAAAAATAAAAATTCTCCAAATGTATTGAGTTAAACTTCTGTCATGCAGTTATACAGCTTTACCATTTGCAGGCTCAGCATTGCATTCTGGTTGGCCAGCTCCAGTGTATGACAAGAAGACCGAGATCTAATGCACTGGTGCATTCACTGTGATAGAAAAGTACCTGTAATATCTATTGGTGGCAAGGTCATAGGGACTAAGATTCTTGCCAGCATTCATACCTGAAGGATTTTCTACATTTCAGTTAATTGTTACTGAAAATAAAGATGTAATTTTTTTCTCATTCAATTTCAAGGACCCTCTGAATTCTATCCATGTAGACCTATGTACATCCAAGGACTCCAGGTTAAGAATTCCTGATATAAACAGATAAATTATGACTCTTATATTTTAGCTATTTGATATAGTTATAGAATCCTTAAAGACAGCAAAAAATATACCTATAAAGCCAGGACATTTTAAGAAAAAAGAAAAATTCCTAGTTTTGTCTATGTCAATTCTAAAGCTTTGAAAATAGAATCCCCACTCAGTTTTTTTCAAGATACTACTGCATAAAGTGTGGTCAAATACTTAATGCTGTTTAAAAAAAAATGGTGACGAGATACCTCTTTCAGCTCTTCCACTTCTAGGCATTATTCCAGCCCTAGGGTTTTTCTGCCTTGTCACTTGGGATAGAAAGAAATTGATCTTTTGTTTCTTATTCTTATATCCAGTTTGGGGCTCTATTATTATTAGTTTTTGCATTTTCATATAAACTTTGATGCTGAATTCTTAAACTTATTGTAGGAAGAAGTCATCCAGTTACCTGTTCGTGAGCGGTTATTATTTTCCTATCACAACACTTAGTCCCAAATATGTTATCTAGTCCTTTAGTTCTCTGAAACACATTAGAGATAAGATTTCTGTTACCTATATATTGATCAAAAGTTTCTGGAAGTAAACAGGAATTACAATATAATAAAAATTATATTTGCTGTAAATGAGATTTGTGCTTTAATCCAAATTATGCCAAACTGGTGCTTCTAGGGCTGCTTCTGAGCCTCAGTTGTCCTTACGTGAAAAAGGAATAACTTCTTATACAATCTCTATGGTACTTTCTACCTGTAAAATTTAATAAGTCATTATCATATCTAACACAGTCATCTAGTGGAGTGGTCCCCAACCTTATTGACACCAGGAAGCGGTTTTGTGGAAGACAATTTTTCCACAGACCAAAATAGTGGGAATGGTTGCAGTATGATTCAAGCGCATTACATTTATTGTGCACTTTATTTCTATTATTATTACATTGTAATATAATGAAACAATTATACAATTTACCATAATGTAGAATCAGTCGATGCCCTGAGCTTGTTTTCCTGAACCTAGATGGTTCTATCTGGGGGTGATGGGAGACAGTGACAGATTACCAGGCACTAGATTATCAAAAGGAGTGGGCAACCTAGATCCCTTGCATGAGCAATTCCCAATAAGGTTTGCACTCCTAGGAGAATCTAATGCTGCTGCTGATCGAGAGGAGGCAGAACTCAGGCTAGGTAATGTGAGCGACGGGGAGTGGCTGTAAATACAGATGAAGCCTGCCACTCACCTCCTGCTGTGCAGCCCAGTATTGGTCCATGGCCTGGGAATTGGAGACCCCCTGATCTAGTGGACACTGTTGGTGCCCACTCCCCTAGCCTTGGCTTATTCCTTAGCTGTTGTCAGTGCTTGCTGTAAACAATTCACAACTGTCTCCATCTCAGGAGAATTTGTCTCTTCTCAGTACAACAGGAAACTAGAGCAGTCACACCTTTAAGGATTATAACCCCATCAAATAATTGACTGACATGAGGCACAAAAGGTGACCCTCTTCCCTGAAGGTGGTCACCCTGAAGGTGACTCTCTTCCCTGAAAGGGCTTTCATGGGACCAGCCTGAAAGCTGTGTTCTAATGAGACTATATTCTTGCTAAGCTTTTTCATCCTGTACTCTCCTGACTCCCACCCCAACTTCTCCTGAGAACATTTTTCCAATTAATCACTTAAATAAGAATCCCCATTTTGGGTTGGGTACAGTGGCTTACACCTGTAATCCTAGCACTTTGGGAGGCCAAGGCAGGCAGTTCACTTGAGCCCAGGAGTTCGAGACAAGCCTGGCCAATGTAGTGAAACCCCGTCCTACTAAAAATACAAAAATTAGCCAGGCATGGTGGAACATGTCTGTAATCCCAGCCAACTAGGGAGGCTGAGGCAGGAGAATTGCAACTAGGGAGGCTAAGGCAGGAGAATTGCTTGAACCTGGGAGGCGGAGGTTGCAGTGAGCTGAGATTAAGCCACTGTACTCCAGCCTGGGCAACAGAGCAAGACTCAATCTCAAAAAAAAAAAGAAGAATCCCCATCTCACGCTCTGCTACTAGGGAACTTAATGTTGATAATATCTTCCCACAGGCATTTATCAAATATTTGCGGACTAACTGAATGAACGAATGAATGAATGGAGTTAATCTTTTTAAAATTAATTGTAAAAGGTAGAGGGACAACCTAAGATTGCTTCATATTCAGCAATAAGTACATGTTGGGGATATTTCTTAGCAAGTACTATAAATAAACATGTCTGTAAATCTGCCTCGGTCCCTTTATGATAAAATTAATTAGTTCATTTACAGGAGTTCCACCCAAATGCTTATTTAATACTCACCAGAGAATGGGCTAACTCTAATCACGGGCTCAAGTAATAAAAGTAATGAACTCAGTATTTAGGGAGGAAAGCAAAACTGACTGCTCATATTCCCAGAGTTTAGCACCTTTAATTAATTATTTATTCCTAATATAAGGGGGTACATTATCAACTTATTAGCAGTACAGTATTAAGAATGTATGAGAAAACAATACACTAAGTGCCCAAAAGTGAGGCTAACTTTCAATTATTCAGTGATAGAGATGAGTAATGTAGATGAGTGGGTTGGAACAGATTATACAGCTTGTTCCAATCCACAGAGAACAGACAAAACTCTCATTTACTAACATATCTTCTTTTAAGTAATACCCCAGGTTTTTATTTCTTTTTTTGTTTTAAATTGATAAAAGCAGCTGTGTAAGCTTTAAAACTTCTTACTGGAGAAAAATTATCTGTAATTACTCCTCAGAACAATAACAAATACCAGAGCCATTCCTGTTTTATAAGAACAGAAAAATCCTGGCTACTGCAGATGGGAAGATAGGTCCATGGGTGCTTGGGCCCTGTTCTCTATTCGGTTCTAGTTATCAATCCTCTGACCCCAAATTATTATTTTTCAGTGGGCGTTCAGTTGGTAATAACCACCTGTTTGGAAATTACTGGGACATTCTCAGTTAAAGGCAGTATAAGTTTCACTATTTTTGCTTTTGTATTTCTTGTGATAGCACAGTTGAACTGAAAAAAAAATCTTGTTTTTCACTAATACTTTTTCTGTAAATAAACTGTATATACATGTTATTAAGGGATTTTATGTATTAGAGTTCAAACAAACACTATCAGATGTATTTTAGCCATCACAAAGGAAAAAAAATCTTCAATTTTCTCATCTGTTTATTAGTAAATATAAAATCTACAAAAGTGGTCTTCAACCCCAATAAATATGAATATGCTAAATGTGAGTGAAACAATCATTTCTTAAAACATTTGTGTTTCTCACAGTGTGTAGGCATTTTCAACATAGGTTGAGAAAAATGTCAAAAACTCCTTGTACTAGTTTGCTATGGCTGTCGTAACAAAGTAACACAGATTGACCCTTAAACAAGAGAAATGTATTTCTCACAGTTCTGGAGGCTAGAAGCCCAAGATCAAGGTGTCCACAGGGTTGGCTGGGTTCTTCTGTGGCCTCTCCTTGGGTTACAGATGGTCACTTTCTCACTATGTCTTCACCTGGTCTTTCTTCTCTGGTGTATGTGCACACGTCTGTCACCTAACCTCCTTTTAAAAAATGTAAGAACATTATTCACACTGGATTAGAGCTCACCCATATGACCTTATTTCAGTTACCTCTTTAAAGGCCCTATTGCTACAGTCACATTCTAGGATACTGGGGCTTAGGGCTTCAATATATGAATTTTAGGGGCAGACACATTCAGTACATAATATTTCTTTATGTTGGTCTTATAGTTTTGACTTTTATCAAGTTTATATGCTAAAAGAAAATAAAAATAAGTACAAATTATTTTAAGAGATATGAATTATAAAATCATCCTTTCTCTAGCTATTGTTTGGAAAATTGTATATACTAAATATGATTCAGTAGTTGTTATAAGCTATATTAGCATTCCATCTGGGTAAAAGCAAATATTAATGAGGCTGATGAGATAAACTGAGCTTTCATTTCCTAAATTCTCCATAAAAATAGAATATAGAACTCTCCGATTAAAATAAATCTGGGTTTTTTCTCTTTTAGAATGGACACATTTAATAATGTTTGAAACAGGTATTTAGAATGACAATATATCATGTGTTTCATAAACGAGTAAGATAATTATATTTTCAGCATAAATATAGATTTATAAATATAATAAATCATATTTCAGCCTAAATATTAAGCATTACCAAATCAAAACTACATTGAGATACCATCTCATGCCAGTTAGAATGGCGATCATTAAAAAATCTGGAGACAACAGATGCTGGAGAGGATGTGGAGAAATAGGAACACTTTTACAGTGTTGGTGGGAGTGTAAATTAGTTCAACCATTGTGGAAGACAGTGTGGCGATTCCTCAAGGCCTTAGAAATAGAAATTCCATTTGACCCAGCAATCCCATTACTGGGTATATATCCAAAGGACTATAAATAGTTCTACTATAAGGACACATACACACGAATGTTCATTGCAGCACAGTTTACAATAGCAAAGACCTGGAATACCAACCCAAATGCCCATCGATGATAGACTGGATAGGGAAATGTGGCACATATACACCATGGAATATTATGCAGCAATCAAAAACGATGGGTTCATGTCCTTTATAGGGACATGGATGAACCTGGAAACCATCATTCTCAGCAAACTGATGCAAGAACAGAAAATCAAACACCACGTGTTCTCACTCATAGACGGGTGTTGAACAATGAGAACACATGGACACAGCGAGGGGAGCATCACACACTGGGGTCTGCTGGGGGGAAATAGGGGAGGGACAGCGGGGGGGTAGGGAGTTGGGGAGAAATAGCATGAGGAGAAATGCCAGATATAGGTGCTGGGGAGGAAGGCAGCAAATCACACTGCCAGGTGTATCTATGCAACAATCTTGCATGTTCTTCAGATGTACCAAAAACCTAAAATGCAATAAAAAAAGAAAAAATATTAAGCATTACTATTAAATATTAAATATAAAATAGAATAATAAATATTGAATTATTAAAAGTACATTGTGATATTAGTGAGAACAATCCTGGAAGTGTTTTCACAGGACTAAGTTTTATTGTTGTAATTATAATAAAAGCCACTTCATTTATATGAGAAACTTTCACCTTATAACTAGTGAAAAAATAAAATGTTAGGATGAACTAGGTAGAAGGTTTGGTGTTCTTTTGTAAACAAAAAAGATTAGGATCATCGGAAGTTAATGTCATAACATTTTGGGAAAAAGGAAAGAAGGGAAATATTTGTCTATGTATTATATATGCAAATATGTGATTTGTGTCATCTATTAGAAAAAGATTTTATACCAACTTTATAAAATATGAATATCTTATCCATGGTTTTGGGTTATTACATCAGGTGAAGAGGCTCAGACAGTTGATATTTTTCCTGAAAGTAAGGGAAATATAGATAGGATAATTGAAGAAGGACATAGATATCAATTACAGCCTCATGGCCTATTCCAGAAACAAGGACTGTAGAGGCTTTGCATATTTTCTGTTTGCTTGGTATATGTATGCATTTATTTTAATATATTAGTGATTTTCTTCTTTTTCTTTCATTTAATATTTTACATACAAGTTTCTGAAGGCAACATTTACAATTTAGCCTTTAGATAACAGAGTATTTGGTGGGACTTTGAATGACAATAACCCTTAGAATAGTGTGTCCTGTCATTTTGGGAAGGTTAGAACTTCGCAAGTATGAAGGATAGCTACATCTGGTTAGATGGAAAACTTGAGTAGTTTTGTTGTTGAGTAGAAGTCTAAATGTGTGTAGAAAAGTGTATGTGGAAGCTAAGAAGCCAAAGAGTGGGCTGTACAGTTATCAGTTTATTATCTCTCAGCACCAAATGCACCATTCTTTGCCCTGTTTTATGGTACTGCCGCTGGACTCAACAGTTCCCACTTGCCTGCTAGGGGAATGTTAGACTGTGCCAGTAGGGGACACTGGTGTAACCATGCCAGGCAATAGCAGCAGGAAGACTCTTCCCTTCCAGATTCCAGTCCTTAAATAGTATTATTCAGAGCAGGAGACCAGTAGCCAGCCGTGCAGATGAGCTCTTGTAGTACCCTAAGGCCAAGATCTCTTTACCAGAAGCCACTCTGAGCAGCACTATTGTGCTCACTTCTTTTGGCAACTGTGAGTCTTTTTTTTTTTTTTTTTTTTTGAGACAGAGTCTCGCTCTGTCTCCCAAGCTGGAGTGCAACGGTGTGATCTCAGCTCACTGTAACCTCTGCCTCCCGCGTACCAGTGATTCTCCCACTCCAGCTTTCTGAATAGCTGTGATCACAGGCGTCCGCCACCAAACCCAGCTAATTTTTTTTTTTTTTTTTTTTTTTTTTTTTTTTGTAGAGACAGGGTTTTATCACGTTGGTTGGGCTGGTCTCAAACTCCTGACCTCAGGTGATCTGCCCACCTCTGCCTCCCGAAGTGCTGGGATTACAGGCGTGAGCCACCACATCTGGCCTGAAAGCCTCTTCTAGAGACTAGAATCAACTTCCACTCTGGCAACCTCATTCACCACCAGCAGGCTGTACCTTAGGATGCAGCTCCCTGTCTGAAGAATCAGAATCTCAGCCTGGTCTCAGGAGGCAGCCTTCTCTTGGCACTCAGTTCCTTTGTTGTCTGTGTTTTCACAGGCAAGAGGTTGGTAGTAGCAACAGTATCTGCTGTTTTACACCTGATACTTCTGTATTCCTTTTGCCCATGTTCACAGATTGCCACCTTGGACTAACAAGTTTTTATATTAAACTTTAGCTTTTAAATAACTGCTGTGGTCCTGTTTCCTGCCTGGACCCTGGCTCATAAACCCCATGAAAAGGAAATCACATACATTTTTTTCCCAAGTAAACTGTCTTTTGCTCATTTGATTTATTAGGATAAAAATACAGGTCCTAAATCAGATTGCATTTTGTTTTATAGTGTATAGCTTTTTCTCTAAGCTCCTGTCTCCAGCAGAAGAAGATATGCTATGAAACCTGACTTTATCTATTATGAAATACACAATAGGAACCTTGATACTTGAATTAGCATTAAGATTTATGAAATATTATTGTAAATAATTGCCAAAGTCATAATACAATAGCTGGAGTGAAAATTGATGATGGTTCATAAATTTTACTGGTCAATAAAATTTGACGCAGCAAGTTCACTAAATTTTTATACAAATGAATCAGCAGCAAGTTCACTGAATTTTCTCTTTTTAGGTCTTTTATTTTCAGAACTATAAAATGCACTGTAACTCTCAGCGGTTAGGAAAAAACGGGCATTTTTGTGTGCGGCAGATCTTTTTAGCAAAAGGATTTGTAATTGATCCATGTCTAAATGCAAGGCAAAGATTTTGGATAGCTTTTTTAAAAAGAAAAAAACCAAAAACAATTTTCACATATAACAGGGCAGAAACTGGCATTGGAATTACACTGAGCTCCCTAATCCTATTAAAACAAGCTGCAAACTCTAGCTGATTCTCTAGGGAACCAGTTGTCTAACTTCAGTGTGCACTAGAATCACCTAGTTAGCTTATCAAGTCACAGATTTCTAGTTTAAACCCTGTTTCTAATTCAGTAGAATTTTCACTCCTACCATATTTTCATGTAATGCTTGTCCAGGATCCGAACTTTAAGAACCAATGTTTTAGAGCAAGAGTTAATCTTCTCCCATTTTCACCCTTTCCTCCTATTTGATCCCAAACTGTTTGCATGTGTTATTATTTTCCTGGGATCTGTATTTTTGGTAGCACATTCTGTCTTCAATGTCTGCAACTCTTTTTCTAGTATTTTTGAAACTTGGCAATTTTTTTATTTTTCTTTTCTTAATCATCTGGCCTAAACATCTCTCATTGCTATAGGCTTTCCGCTGCCTGCTTCAATCCCCAATGTCATGTTGCACTAACTTTCATTGTAGCCCCTTAGTCAATGTCCCTCTTCTCCTTCTCTCCTCCCAACATTCCCTCTGCAAGCACACAGACACACTTTCTAATGCCAGTAATGAATGGTAGAAGCGGGATTTGGAGCGATTAGGATGTGTTGATCTTTTCAAATTAATCCATGCTGAGAACTAGAAGACCTTGAAGCATTCTTTAATAATCTGATTTAGAATCTTCCTTGGGAAATGTCTGGAATGATCTTCTTATCTCTTTTGAATGTTAGATAATCTTTATTTTATTCCTGCCCTGCATCCATCTTTCACAGCCCCTCAAGCACACCGATACACACATAAGTTCTTATTAACATCACTTTGTTTTCCTTACCCTGCTTAATCTATCCTGAAATGTTCTATTCATCTCTGAGATTCGTCTTAATTAAGCATTGCCATTTCTAAGAATCCCTCCTAGATGCCCTTGTCCCATTGGTATAGATAATATGCATCTGGCAACTGACATGGACTTTATGCAAGTTAGCAGACTTCATTTAGATTACTGATACGCTCTTTGCAACCTGTTTTTTTGTGACTTTCTACTCTTGACTAATATTAATTTCAAGATTGTTCATTAAAAGATTTTTCTTCTTTTTTTGGAAAACATGAGAATAACTATTAAGGAGTATCCTTTCCCTGTGTCAGCACACCACTGACTCTCATTTGGGAACCATCCTGTGTTCAGGTTTTTGCCATGAGACTCAATTGTTAAAAACTGGTTTGCAACATTTCTTCCTTGTTTAGACTTGATACTTTTTTCCTGACCACCATGGTTCTGCTGCTTTTCCTCACTTCCTGTTTGTGACCTCATCTTTGCCTCTTGGCCCAGTGACTGACATGGCTCTTCTAGTACTAACTAGAGGATTATATCTGCCTGTATGTGCCCACACTGAGTAAGCCCTATTCCTGGGACCATAGTTTAGGGTGACAAATTAGTCTCACATAAATTGGCTTAAAGAATATTACCTGTCAGTACTCTAACATATATATGTTATACATTTGATTGTGTAACTTCCAGTGATATATTTTCAACAAAGAATAACAAGATATGAGAATAAAGGTGTTTTCTCAACAAGTTCCATGAGAGAATTAGGTCTTATTGCACTAATGCATCCATGATATACAAAGAATTAACTTCTATCCTATATGTCTGGAATGGTATTAGTTATATAACCATCTTGGGCTAATAGAAAAATTTGTTACCCAAATCATTTTTTATGTTGTGTAGCTCAGATGAGCAGAGAATGTGGCTTCTCGAGTACTCCAGAGGTCATGTGTTTAGGCGGTGCTACAGTCTGAAGGTTTGTGTCCCCTAAAATTCATATGTTGAACACTAATCACAAAGGTGATGATTATAAGAGGGTAGGGCTTTTAGGAAGTTGTTAATGCCTTTATAAAAGATACCTCAGAAACCTGCGTTGCCCCATCCCTCATGCAAGGACACAGAGAGAAGATGCCATCTATGACCCAGAAAGTGAGCTGGCACCTGAGTCTTGGTCTTCTCAGCCTCCAAAACTGTGAGAAATAAATTGCTGTTGCTTTTGAGTCACTCAGTCTAAGGTATCTTGTTATAGCAGCCCGAATGGATGAAGACAGTTGGTAGTAATAGTTTTGTAATTGTCCATAGGAATGTTGTGTCACATCTAAGAAAGTGCCCCATTAGAGCAGAGGAATATTTAAGCTTAAGCTTTAGGATCCCTCACTTGCATGAGCCTTTCCCAAGGCCTTGGGAGAGGTCACAGAAATGTTGAACTTGTCAGTTTTTATTTCTTGTCAAGTAGGGCTCTCCTAAGTAGGGCTCTCCCAACAAACTGTATGAGGCTTTATATGGCATCTAAACCAGTCTTAAGCAAACTATGTTATCTGGATCATCACCCCAGTTCTAGGTACAGTTTTTAAATGTCATAGACACAATCTTGCTACATGGCCCATAAAAATGATTGCCCTTATCCATGTACATTGGCACTGCAATCATTTCTCATTGGTAGTATTCAAC